TGTCCGAACTGGATTCAGTAGGATGATTTTCAAAAAGGAGAATGTTTGCCAAACTGATGGGCCAAGTGTGAGTGAGAATCCAAAACAAGTCATGATAAAAAAAAAAAAAAAAAAATCTGATTTCTCCCAGACTTTCCTTTTACTGTAATTTTTTTCCCAACACAAACAGTCAGGATGGTTATATATACAAAGTCTGTATTTTTGAGATAAGAGTGTAGCCGAAGGCAATATGCACATATACACACACACACACACACAGTCATAGACACATGGGAGCGGAGATACACACAAGCAACAACAAACAAATGTGTGCCAAAAGTGTGATGCCAACCAGACAGCCTAGACCCCCACTGCTGCTGGATCCATGACCTGACTTCAGATCATCTCACAGCCATCTGCATGGCCTCACACACACACACACAGACACACACACACACACTTTGGTTCCAGCGTGTTGGTATGTCTCTTCACCCTCGTCTTCTCGTTTCGCTGTGAATTTCAAGGGAAACAGCAGCATATGCTCATCTGCGTAAAAAAAAAAAAAAAAACGAAGATCTGCCATCCCAACACTTTTCCCAACAGCAACGTAAGAGGCCAGAATTGGGATTTGTGAGAAGCCAAATCATACTCAGATCCAGCAATACTGCATAATATAAACCATAACTGATTGGACGATGTCTGAGCAGGGAGATGAGACTCGTGAACTCAACTCATTCAAGTAATGTATAACAAGGGGAATTATGGGAGTTAGAGTCCTTGAAAGCACTGTTGTAGAAACCTACACCATGGACCGCAACACACAGATGGATTTCAGCAGTTGTGGGGTTCGAGTGTTAAAGGTTACTATTTCGATGCAGGTTTATGTTTACGTACTTTGAAGATTAAGCTAATAATATTTAATTGTAAATATTATGTATCTAGAAGAACATGTCTTATTATGTAGATAATGTACAGAATCAAGAACATAATTACATTCATATTTCATTTACAGTAGGCCGAAAATTTCCTTCTGGAGTGGAAACATATCTGATGAGCGGACAACACCAGAAGCTGTCAGTGAACAAAGGATGCACATAGCCTGTATATTATTGGAAAATAGCTAAAAAAAAAAAGGTAAATTGTAAAAATGTAAAATAAACCCAAATGTTGTGTATTATATTTTATGATCATTTATTTATCATTTATCATTTACTATTTGTAAAAAAAAAACACTTTGCTGAAAAATCCTAGACTGAGCGTGATTGTTTTCTGTTTTACACTATGTGCTGCATCTGGGTAACATTTTTACATTCGCTCTGGTTTAAGATGTACATGTAAATGTAAAGAACATAAATAAAGTCCTACCCTAAACCCTGAGAGAACAGATATATTAACAGGGATTTTCCCTCTAGCCTAAAATAATGTGCTACCACTCTGAATAGAGTCAGAACCACGTATTTATAGCGATTTCAAACCTATAGTTATGTACTACCACTTTAAATAGAGTCAGAAGTACGTATTTATAGCGATTTCATGCCTGTAGTAATGTGCTACCACTTTGAATGGACTGAAAAGCACATATTTATAGCGATTTCATGCCAATAGTAATGTGCTACCACTCTGAATAGAGTCAGAACCACGTATTTATAGGTCAGCTCTGGTTCTGATTCTGTACCAGTTAACAATCGCCATTGGAACGTGCGCACACATGGTTCGCACTATTGGCTTAAATTTCATTCTGTACGTTGACCAAAAAAATTCACCTTTGACCGCCTTTCTTGTTAAAGGCACACGCCAGCGCCACCACGTGACCAGTGGCTCTGCAGTCCACTGGCACGCAGAGCATGGAGGAGATCTCGCAGCCCAACATGCTGGACAGCTGCCGCCGCTCCTCCTGGTGGTGAAAAAAAAAAAAAAAAAACCCACGATGAGACATAGACACGGACATACGGAGACCCGCTGATACGGACAATCGTACGGGCGAGACGGTTGCGTTCTTACAGAGCTGATGTCTTGTAGCGTGATTGACTTCTTTTTCTCGACGACCTGACCGAAGCGCCCAAACATCAGCTAAAGACAGATTTAGAGAGAGAGAGAGAGGATAAAGAGAGGACAGTTAGGTAAAGAGAGAGGGACTTTTAATGGGGAGCAGAGACAGACAGGGGGCCACGAGAGGATAAATGGGTTTATTTTACAGGGATAAAATATATAAATAATAGTTGTTTATTCAGAGGAGGGCCATTATATAGGAAAGTCTATTAGCTCCCTTGTTAAATCAGTGCAAATGGCCCATTTATGCTGCACCACTGTATCCTCGTATCTCTGTACATCAGCCATCGTCAAGATTTCACGGATCATTTATCCCAGAGAAAAACAGCAGATTCAACTCATAATGGAAGATCCGTAAAAAATGCAGCATCTGCCTATCAATGCCTGCAATGATCGGAAGGTGTCTGATAGATGACGATCTATAGTAACATGGATCTGTTGCTGAGTTTTGACCTCACCGGGAAACTGATCTCCTCTTCTAGGACTTTGTCTCCAACCACCTGAAGTTTAAAAAGGTTAAAGTTACTTTGGATTTTAACGGTTAAAATCACTACTGTCTGTCTGTGTCGTTGTGTGCATACCTGGCAAAACAGCTGGTGATTGTCCTCAGACACCAGGAGGAGACAGCAACACTGCGACTGTGTCTGCTGCTGCAACTGTATCACAGAGAAGACACACAGCACATTAGTCCTGCTTTCACATTCATCCCTACCTCCCTTTGACCATCCCTTCATCCATTCATCCATCCATCCTTTATCTATCAATCCATCCATCCCTATCCTCTTCATTCCTTAGTCAATCAATCCATCCATCCATCCGTCCGCCCATCTATCCATCCATCCATCCCTACCACCCTTTCACCATCCATTCATCCACCTCTACCTCCCTTCATCCATTCACCCATCCATCATTTATCTATCAATCCATCCATCCCTACCCTCGTCATTCCTTAGTCCATCAATCCACCCATCCATCCGTCCGTCCATCTATCCATCCATCCATCCCTACCACCCTTTGACCATCCATTCATCCACCTCCACCTCCCTTCATCCATCCATCCATCATTTATCTATCAATCCATCCATCCATACCCTCTTTATTCCTCAGTCCATCAATCCATCCATCCATCCGTCCGTCCATCTATCCATCCCTACCTTCCTTTGACCATCCATTCATCCACCTCCACCTCCCTTCATCCATCCATCCATCCATCCATCTATCTATCAATCCATCCATCCCTACCTCCCTTCATCCATTCATCCATCCATCATTTATCTATCAATCCATCCATCCCTACCTCCCTTCGTTCCTCAGTCCATCCATGCATCCATTTATCTATCAATCCAACCATCCATCCCTACCCTCTTCATTCCTTAGTCCATCAATCCATCCATCCATCCGTCCGTCCATCTATCCATCCATCCATTCATCCCTACCTCCCTTTGACCATCCATTCATCCACCTCTACCTCCCTTCATCCATTCATCCATCCATCATTTATCTATCAATCCATCCATCCCTACCCTCTTCATTCCTCAGTCCATCAATCCATCCATCCATCCATCATTTATCTATCAATCCAGCCATCCCTACCTCCCTTCGTTACTCAGTCCATCCATCCATCTGGCCGTCCATCCATCCATCCATTTATCTATCAATCCATCCATCCCTACCCTCTTCATTCCTCAGTCCATCAATCCATCCGTCCGTCCATCCATCCATCCATACATCCATCCATCCATCTGTCCATCTATCATCCATCCATCCATCCCCACCTCCCTCGATCCCTTCATACGACCACCTATCCATCCATCCATCCCTTCATCCATCATCCATCCATCCATCCATCCATCCCTAGTTGATATTGGCTGAAGCAAATCTACATGGAGCAATCATCAGTCCATTCCAGGTCCACATATAGAATCCAACAACCACTGACACTAACAGTCACACCTACACTCAGACACCAGTGTCTCCATTCATCCTGATTCCCTGTGTGAATAAAGTGGAGCTAATGGAAAAAAAAATAAACTATGCACGCACTGGGAGAACATGTGACCTCCGCATAGAAAGGCCATCTGTGGGAGCAGGGTGGAAACCTTTGACCTCAGTGTTAACCACTGTGGGACTAAATGTCCTTACAACTGACCAGAAGAGAATTGTTAATGAATCACCCTGGTATGAGGTTGTCAGCAGCAATTGTGTGGAATCATGGAAAAGCTCTGGATTTACTCAGTGTAAATCCAGAGCTTTTCCATGAATTTAGGGTGTTTAATTCACGTCCTCTGAAATCTGTACAGGACTATGTGTCAACTCTACAGAGAAAGAGCAACTTTAAGCCGGGTGTGAATCACTGGCTGCTGTGCCGTGAGGCGACGGCGCTAACCACTGCAAAACAGAAACAACAAACATGATCACGATAAGAGGGCAAATAAAAAAAAATCCCCGAGAGATGTGTCTGGACAGGTCTTAGTTATTAAATACCAGACATATTGGGAAACTATCGAAATCTGTATTACAATCTTTTAATTTTGAATGGCTTAGTTAGAGAACGTCCTGAGCTCAGAGATGACAATATCAACAATGGGAAAATGACTGGCAAAAAATTCAATACTGTCTTGGCAGGAATAGATTTTCAGTGAAATAATATAGGAGAGGAAAACAAATGAAACTGTATTTAAAGGGAAATTAGACACTCGCCTTGGGAGCCTTCACACGCCGACTGCAAGCAACTTCAAATTTAAAATACCTTCTTCATATATATAAAACACCTAATTGATGTGAGATTCATTTGAATTGAGTGGTGATTCTGAGCTTCAGATTCTCAGCATTGACTCGAGGAGCTGGAAATCCCTACATGTACTACATTCCTACATACGGATAAACAGTCAAGGGTTTATCACCACTGCTACTGGTCTTAACATGACCTGCAGCACTGCAACCAATAATCCGCTCTGCGATACACTGTTAGGTGCAAATGTGCATGCTCTTATCCTACAAATACCATCAACCAACACACATACGCACACACTTTCTTAACACATTGCTCCTCTGCCAAATCTTCAGATCTAAATGGAAAACCAGGAAAAGCACAACAGCTGACACCAAATGGCTCACCCTCCATTCACACACTCACGGTTCATGTTCACATTAAACAGAAATGTTTTTTTTTTTTTTTTTTTACTACACAAGATACCTACAATCCCATAAAAGCTGCCTGAAGCTGCCTTTTTCACCAAAAGAATGATTCTTCAGAAGCAAAGATTTCCTGCTTGTTTTCTTTTCCCCCCTCTCCTCCACTTACTACAGCCCCCTCATTCCCTTTTTACAACGGTAACAATAAGCAGGCGAAACGAATCATGTCAAACTAGAGCGGGATTTCAAACCCCTGCAGCTCTCTGCACAATCACAACCGCTGAGTTCTTTCCAAATGCGTAAATATAGGATAAATATAGGTGTGGGAGCATCATATATATATATATATATATATACATATATACATATAT